GGCCTCCATCACCTCCTTGCACTCCCCTTTGAAACCCTAGAATCCATATTTGATCTTGATTGTGGTGATTCTATCCAAGGAGAAGAATAGGAAGAGCATCTAGTCCATCAATTTTGCATTCAAGTTACACCATTAAGCATTTTCACACCTTCTGGACATTTTATAAGTTTCAAGTTCATAGTTTTATAAGTCCATAAGCTAGATCTAAAATTTTTATCCTTTATCTTTCATATGCAAGATGATGTAGTGGTTGAAATCCATAAAGTTGCCAACTTTATGGATCTCCAGTGTCCATTGAGTAGTATAGATGCTAGATCTAGAATATGTTTTAAGACTCTTGCATGAGATTTGGTGTCATTTCCTCCTCTTGTGCCCTAGTTAGTGTTTGGACATGCATTGGACATTCATGTCCAAAAATACATGATTTTTATGATGTTCTGAAGTAAATAACACACTATGGAGGATTTGGTTGCTTGGCCAAAGGGATTAAGAGCTTCATTCATCATTTCTGTCTAAAGCGTCCTCATGACGTGAGCTCTTGAATGTCACGACATGAGGATGGTCTTCCTCGACTGTTTTGACTTATCAGGCCAAGAAGTGACCAGTGGTTGTGGGATATTTGAGTTTTGATTGATTTTGACTTTGACCAGGGTTTAACCAAGTTTCAACAAAGGGTATATTGGGTTGTATTTGAGATTGACCTCTATCTGATGAATAGGTGACCAATAGAGCTGATATTTAGAGTAGTGTCCTCTTCTTTCTAGATTGAGAGGTGAGTTTCCTCACTGTACTTATGGGTCGAAGGCACCAAGGTCGGCCCACTGGATATGATATCATGGTATATTGATAGATTTTATTTTGAATTTGGGGTAGATCTGTATGATTTCCTGATGATTACTGATACACGTTAGACTGATAGAACTATATGATTACCTGTATTACTAAATATGTGTTGGACCGGTAGATCTGTAGGACTACCTGTATTCGCTGGCTATTGATTGTTATGATATATGTTGATGTGTTATTGTTGTTTCAGTTGAGGTGATCCTGCTTTTTGTTGAAGGCCAAGATACCCAAATTGGTCCAGATAGACTGAAGGCCTGCAAGACGATCAAGTCGGGCCTAAGTCCTGAAGAGCGGCCCGACGTAACGGTCCAGTCTTGCTGAAGGCTCTAAGAGCGATCCAGATAGGTTGTAGGCCCAATGCGGCAGTCTAGTCAGGCTGTAGGCTAATATATGCATGTTGTTATTTGTATGGTTGTGTGTGATATTTTGGGGGAACTCACTAAGCTTTGGCTTACGGTTTAAGTTTATGTTACAGGTACTTTAGATGATCGGGGCAAGACGAATGAGTGATCGTACACATCCTTCGATGTTATGTTTTAGAGATTTATGATACATTGATCTTGAGAAATATTTGTATTTTGATACATGATTTTGAGATGGGTTTTCTTGAAAACAATGATATCTTTAAATTAAAATTGAAATTTTTTATCGTGTTTTTGGGACGTTACAAATACAAGAACAGTCACAAAAATGCATATGTTTATATCATATAAGATTCACATGTGATTATATAATTTAAGATTCACATATGATAATATAATGTGATATTCACATGTGATTGTTTCTTTTAAGATTCAAATGTGAAATTCACAAGAAAATAAAAAAAAATAACGAAGACACACACAAAAAACATGTTTGTATATAGACGTAATTTATATGTGATTCATATGTGATTTATATGTAATTCACTTATGATTTACATGTGATTCATATGTAAATTACATGTAATTCATATGCGATTCACTTGTGAATTACAATTAATTCAAATGCTCAAAAGTTGTTATGTTATGAACAAAAAGAATTTAAGTTAACCATTATACATAATTTATAGATTAAAATCTATCAATCTAATGTATGGTAGATTTATAGAGTAATTAACGATATAAAAACTAAACAATAAGCTAATTCCGTTTACATAAAGCAAGCAACAACAGAAGCATTTAATATCCATATAAAAATCAAATAGCTGTTGATACAAAGCAAGGTACTTACTAGTGTAAAGTAAAGCAACAATATAGAATGATACAAAAACGAATATACAAATCAGTCCAATTAAAATGAATTGTTAGGCAAACATAGGATGAAATTAAAAATGAAATTACATATCTATGTAATAAGAATTTCTTATAAATTCACGAGGTGAATCATAAATCTACAAAAACTTTTTTCAATAATCACTGTACAAACATATATCAATTTTAATCCTAAAATGAATAATTTGAAGACAACCACATCTTAGAGAAAAGAAGGAACACGAAGCAAAAACATTAGTCTGCTAAAAGAAAAATTGATGAAAAAAATTTATATTAACAACTCTTTCAAAAAATGTAACTCGCTCAACAAAAAGTCATCAAACATAAATATAGATCATTAATTTCGATGGAAAATGCAAATATAATATAATTCTAACCAAACTAAAAAAATATAAGTTACAAATAATGCGGTGATTTGCTTTTAGAGTTTTAAATACATACCTGGCGTTGAAAATTGACATTAATGAAACCTAGATTGTTGGTGTATTTAGGATTTTACATAAATTGACGATGAAAACTGGAACTGGAAGAGGAAATTAGACGTCAAAGAAGAACTTGAGTGAGGAGGCTACACCGTCTGGAGGTGATGCGATAGCAGGAGGAAGGAAAGATAGAAATCGATTGCAGAAATTGGTTCAATAAAATAGCTCAAAAATCAAACTACATTGATTTTCAATGATGTATCTCCACTCATAAGTGAGTTCTTCGGATGCCACTTTTTCCAATTTGGAAGTGAACACCATTAATCATAGATTATATTTCACCATATCTATAATTTTCGGCGAATCTACATTGATTTTAGGCATCCGAATCACCAGAAACATTTATTTGGTCAAACCAGATATCGTCGACGGTCTGGAGATTATTGAATATGGATGGTCGGACGTGAGATGGTCAGAGGCGGGATGAAGGGTGTGTGTGTGTGTGCATGTGTGAGTGTGTGTGTGTGTATGAGAGAGAGAGAGAGAGAGGAGATAGAGGGATAGAGTATAAGGATATTATTTAGCCAATATTCAATTTGATCGAAGAAAATAATTTTTTTTATAAGGTACATCTGTATTATTTTTTTCAATTATTTACAAAAATGCCACATATCAGTTTTAATAAGGTATCTTTGTGTTATTTTTTTTTCAATTATTTACAAAAATGTCACAAATCATTTTGATCTTCTCTTATTTTGATTTAACGAATTTTGTTTAGTTCTCGAGAAATTAATTCTTTAATGATCATTATTTTCTCTCTCTCTCTCTCTCTCTCTCTCTCTATATATATATATATATATATATATATATATATATATATATATATATATATATATATATAGGGCTTAGGGAATATGTGGTTGTTATGTACCTAAGCTTATATATAGAACTCCCCAAACAATGTAGTTTTGATCAATCTATATTCAAACTAATCGTGACATCTCTTTTAATATTCTCCCTTAATCATGTGACTTACTAAATAGATCGAATATATGTTCTTTTTATTAATTGTGTCTAAAAACTTAAAGCGTTAGAATTCATGCCCATTTAATCAATCCTACTACATTTTAAATGAATACTAATAAAATAAAAGATAAAAAAAGAATATAACATAAGTTAATCAAGATGTTCACAAATCATTCGATATGGTTTTTTGATTGAAAGACAAAACGTTTGAGTTATATTCGTTAAAAATATTAGTTTTTTTTCCCTATAAACTTAAATGATTTTTTTTGCAATAAAAATATATATAATTGATTTTTTTCATTCCATAATTTAACTCAATTCAATGATATTTTATTAAAACAACATTAAGAGACAATGAAATTGGATTTGTTTTGTTTAAAACTACATAGTTTAAAAAGTTATATACATAAGCTTAGGTACATAACAGATACATATTCATTTTTCCCATATATATATGGGGATAGGGAATATACATTACAGCCCCACCTAAGCTTAAGTTCTAAACTTCTAAAATATGTCGTTTTAACATGCTAGATATACCCGGTTTGGTTTCACTTGGTAAATATATCATCCACCACAACATTTCTTTCTTTCATTATCGTTTTACCATCCCTGTTTTCTTTACTCAATTATCGTTTATTATTTCACCCAGGTAAGGTGGGGCTATAATGTATATTCCTTTTTCCCTATATATATATATATATATATATATATATATATATATATATATATATATATATATATATATATATATATATATGGTAAAGTGAATATACCTAACAACCTTATATAAGCTTAGGTACCTAACCTCATCAAACTACGTCATTTTGCATTAAATTTTCATTGCAATCATCCAAGGTTCTTAAACTTCATTCCTAAACTTGATTTACTTCAAAAAAATTTTGGAAATTCATCATTATATTTCTCCTACATCCTTTTATTTGTAGTGGTAGGATAAGAAGCCCATCAGGTGGCATTCGATACAAAGACGTAATGTAAAAGAAAGATATTGGTGAAAGTCCAAAGATTTTGAAAGTAATCAAGTTATGGGGTTGAAGTTTAAGAACCTTAGGCAATTACCATGTAAATATGATACAAACCGATGTTGTATTATGGAGTTAGGTACCTAAGCTTATATAAGGTTGTTAGGTATATTCACTTTACCCATATATATATATATATATATATATATATATATATATATATATATATATATATATATATATATATATATATATATATATATATATATATATATATAGTAAATCTTTTATATATGGTAACTATATATATGTGTTAATAAAATTTTAGTTAACTTATATATATGATTCTAAAATGTTTGAGTTTATTCTTAAATTAAAAGCTTGAGGAAATTAGATCTAAAGATTATCAGCTAGGTATATATAAAGCAATAGGGTTTGGTGTTTTTCTTGTGACCCATACACATACATAGATGGAGAAACGGAGGCGAAGGCGTTCACAGTTAGAAGATATTCCCAACTTGTACCACGATATACAATCGCGGTTGCCGGTAGAAGAAGCCGCCCGTACAAGCGTCTTGTCTAAGTCATGGCTGCATGCTTGGTATACCATCCCTATCATCAGGTTTCCTCTAACACCTGCAACATTGGTTGACAAGGAAGAAGATAAAGAAAAAGTAAAGCCGATGGAGGAGCTGGTCGATCGAACTCTGATACGATATCTCCGTGACAACATACCAATAGAAATCGTTGACCTTACCATCGACATGACAAATCAGGAGTTGGCTTCTCTTGCTGAAAAATGGATCAGGCTCATGGCAACCAAAGGTAGTACACTGAAACAGCTTTCCCTTAGAATCTGCATTAGCAGTGACTACTCGGTTACTTTGCCAGCAGAGATACTCTCCTCCGGTCGTAACCTAACCGATTTAGAAATTTCATGTTCTTCCTCAATTGGGTTACAGATGATGAATCCCTTTTCGATGACTAGCCATCCTGTGATCATCAACTGTGTGTGCCTACGACGATTACAATTGAAGAATGTGCACATAAGTGAAGAGGTACTTGATGACATATTTTCTATTTGTAGGTTGCTTGTGAGGGTAGATCTTTCATGTTGCTCGGGCTTCAGGAGAGTCAAGGTTCAAAACCTTCATCGTCTTAACCAATTCAGAATAAATTCAGCAGGTAAACGAAACCCCGTTGTGTTGGAAATCAATGATGTTCCAAATATTCGTTTGTTTACCCTTGAAGGGAACACTCTTCTTCCATCCATGGATTCACTAGGAAGCTTGACGCCATTATGGTTAGGTGGTATGATCGTGGACGATGCTTTTTTGCATATTATCAAATCTAAATTTCCTTTTCTCGAGAGTTTGACCCTTGATATGAAATTGTCGAAGTTGGAAAGCTTCGATATCACACATGTGCTTCGATGAAGAGATTGTCGTTGCTGTGGTGCTCACATATGCTTATCGACGTAAAAGTTTACGCTACAAAATTAGTTTTTTTCTATTTTTTCTGGCGAGACGACAATGCCTCGTCTCTTGTTTCCAGCAATTGTTCTCGAGGAAATCCAGATTGAACTTTCTCTGATCAGGCGTCCCATGGATAATTCTTTTTTTCTTAAGATGAGGGAAGCTTTCACGTTATCAAGAAAGTGTGACATTCAAATTCAAATACATGGTATATTAGCATCGGACATCAACATCGACCTCGATGATTTAAGAAGAAGAGTTCCGTTTCCGGCTATGAACGTGCAACGGGTGTCGTTTAGAACTTTTTCAGATGATGGCTTGTGGCCGGATAGCACTCCATTTTTTGATGCGTTCTTTATGATTTGCCATCCAAAGCATGTAGAAGATCAGTCCTTGAATAACAACAATCACTTTTGCAAGCTGATGATGTTGGAGAAGAAAAACAGAAAGGGGTATTGGGGTGATTAATTACCTGAAAGATGTTGAAATAAGACGTCAATGTCTTGGTGATGAAAAATGGGAAACCCTAACAAATTCTTGGAGAAGCTTTCTAGACCGATCGGTGGAGGAATGGTCCGGAGTTGAGTTCAAACTATACTGGCATTCGATTGAATGATTTATTTTACTATTTTCTATCTTGTTTTAATTTTTATTTTATATTATACTAGGCATAACGCATTTATTACATATTTTCATTTTAAAAAAATATATATAAAATTTTAAATAAATTTTGAATTTATAAGAAAAAAATAAAAAAATATTAAATTATTAAAATTAAATTGTTTGTTTTTTTTTTAAATTAATGACAAATGATTTTCTAATATGTGCTTAAAAGCATATATAAGAAACATTAATTAATGACAAATATTACTATAATTGAATGTAAAATATATTAATTATAAGAAATAATATGTTAATTAAATGTGACATGTATTAATTATCTTCATAATAAATGTATTTTGAATTTAATTATAATAATATTTTTCATAATTAATACTCTTATATTTCTCTCAAGACCTATGTAGTCAATAGCGATGCTATAGCGGCGCTATAGCAGTTAGCAGAGGTAAGGAAACGCTATGTCGAAATAGCGGTTTAGAATAGCGGTGACGCTATTAGCGCCGCGATTTACCGCTATTTACCGCGATTATGATCACCGCTATTTGAATAAATTTCATTTTTGGGCTATTTTACATAAAAAAAAACATTTTATGTCATTCCATTGAATAAAATAGTTTTTTCTTATCCCCTAACTAAAACTTTTGTATCATTCCATTGAATAAAATTGTAATTTTGTGAATATCATGACTTTCATTGAAACCATGTATTTGTTGTGTTGTTACTGGTGTTGAACACGTGAAGTACTACATTATGATTAACTATCAAATTACTTAATCATTTTATATGATAACTGTAATTGTGTTAAAGTATGATAAAATAGTAAGTATTTCATATGTTTTCTTGTTAATTGTGTTAAAGTGTGATTAACTGGGGCATTGGTAACCGATCTGTAAAGTATGATTAACTAATTATGATATCTGAAGTATGATTAACTAAATTTGATATATGAATTATGATTTAGTGATTAACTAATCAACCGTATTAGGTTGAATTTTAAAGTATGATTTACTGATTAATACTCTAATATATATAAATTCTAAATAATATAAAAAACGCTATATCACCGCTATACCGCTGCGAAAACCGTGATTTCAAATAGCGGTCGGTGACCGCTATTATATTTTTGACCGCGATAACTGCTTAGCTCAAGACACATATTAGAAAATCCGTTTAAACAAATAATTTAGATAAATAAACAAAGAAAATTAATAAAACTTTAATTTAAAAATACAAAATTGCAAAAATCGTCCCTATGGTATGCATTTTTTTGGGGTTTTAGTCCAAACCCCGACTTTTTTGGATTGGTGGTCATTTTGAGCTATTTTGCTTGCAATTTTGGTCCCTGTCCAAACTAAAAAGACTATTATACCCTTAATGAACTTATTTTTCATTTTTCTTTCACTTTTTAATATTATTATTATTAAATATAAAAGTGGGCCCACTTATTCACCCTCTCTCTCTTTCTCTCTCTCTCTCTCTCTCTCTCTCTCTGTCTCTCTCTCTCTCTTTGAGTGTGTATTCTACTGTATGAAAAACATTTCCCCATTTCTTCATCTTCTTGATTCCAATCATCCACCAATACTGATGGCATGGCTACCCAAGCTTCCCTCTTTGCATTCGTAATCCCCAATCAAACCTTCCCATGGAAATAATCACAACTCACCTCCTTCAACAACGTCAAACCATCCAAACCCACCACTCGTTTCAACACCATCAAAGTTGCAGTGACAGGGGAGGTCCCCACCAAAGAAGCTCTGATGGGATTCATCCCACCTGAACTAGAGCCCAACACCTCATCTCCAATCTTCGCTGTAATACCCCACCGGAACAGCTCCCTCCGCCACTCCCTGTTGCCATGGTAAAAACCCACCACCACTGTGTTTATTTTGCTTAGTACCGGAGCCCCAAACATCCCCGACCCTTACTCCTTCCTCCCCTCGTATCTCACACATCGATTTCTCTCCCTTTATCGGCCACCGTAGCAGTTCCATACAACAACCCCTCTAGATGTCTTCCCCCTTTATCGTCTCACTCTTTTCTCATCGAACTAGAATAAGCTTTAGGGATTTCAAAAGATGAGGCGGTTTATAACATCTTGTTCACAGTTTGTTTCAATACTTTTGGGGGATCAAGATTTTGGTTCCCAATATACTAAAATGGCTCGGCCATGATGGAACTAATTTACATACCTAATTGGTGGAGGAGATCATAGGTGCGATCAAAACCCACGATGGTGGGAAGGTGAAGATGACGGCAATGGAGCAGATGCCCTTGATGAAATATGTGGTCTACGAGTCTCTTCGAATCGAATCACCTGTAGTCTTACAATCGAATCACACGACGCCATTTTCAAAGTGAAAGAAGGGAATATGTTATTCGGATACCAGCCATTTGCGACCAAGGATCCCAAAGTGTGTGACCGTGCGGAAGAACTTGTTCTGAATCGGTTTGTGGGTGATGGCGAGAAACTTTTAAATTATGTGTCGTGATCAAACGCCTTGAACGAGCTTGAAGAATGATTGAGCTATGTCTAAACCTTCTTGATCCAAGGTTGAAGATGATGCGGTTTTCTGCATTTTATACCACTTTGACAGAGACAGTGGTTTGGTTTTTTTTTTTTTTTTTTTTGGGGGGGGGGGGGAGAGAGAGAGAGAGAGAGAGAGAGAGAGAGACGTGGGCCCAAATTAGTTAATTAATTTATTTTTCATTTAAATTAAATAGAAAACACATAAAAAAAATATATCAAAAGGGCATAATAGTCTTTTCAGTTTACCGAGGGACAAAAAACGCAACGAAACTAGGTCAAAAGGACCAGAAATCCAAAAAAGTCGTGGTTTGGACTAGCACCCCAAAAAAATGTATACCACAAGGACCAATTTTGCAATTTTGTCATTTAAAAATTTGAAATTAGAATGAAGTCAATTAATGAATTTGATATTAATTTATTGTTACATTTATTGCAATTATTACATTTAAATTTTATGTGAAAATTAATAAAATGAAAAAAACCATAAAATGTCATATGGAAAAAAAAATTAATTGAAAATAACCACAAAATGACATGCGGCCAAATCAATAACAATGTGACATCTGGCAAAAAGTTCTTTATTTATTAGAAAGGACTAGTTGTGATACCTATGTATTATGTAGGTTAATTTAAAAATAAATAAATATAATAGTCAAAATATTTGAAAACTTTGAGTTTATAAGAAAATTTGAAAAATAATGAATTATTATAATAGAAATATTTCTTTATCTTTTAAATTTAAACAAATAATTTAAATAAATAAAAGAAACTAATAAGCTTTAATTTTGAAAATTTTGAAATTATAAGGTAAGTTCATTAATGAAATTGATATCAATTTATTACTATATCTATTACAATTATTATATTAAAATATTATATGGAATTTAATAAAATAGAAAACTCATAAAATGACACTTGGAAAAAAAAAATTAATTTAAAATAACAATAAAATGACATTTTACAAATTGAATAAGAATGTGACAAGTGACAAAAAAAAACATTCATTTATTAGAGAGGAGTAGTTGTGAAGTATTACATGAGTTAATTTAAAATATATATATATATATATATATATATATATATATATATATATATATATATATATATATATATATAAATGTTAAAGTATTTGTGAACTTTGAATTTATAAGAAAATAAGAAAAATAATGAATTATTATAATGAAAATGTTTTTTATCTTTTAAATTTAAAAAAAAAATAATAAAGAAAAGAAGCTAATAAGCTTTAATTTTAGAAATTTGAAATTAAATAGTAAGTTTAATAATGAAATTGATATCTATTTATTACTACATTTATTTTAATTATTACATTAAACTATTATGTGAAATTTAATAAAATAGAAAAACTCATAAAATGACATGTGGAAAAAAAACTAATTCAAAATAATCACAAAATGACATTTAACAAATTGAATGAGAGTAGGATAAATAGCAAAAAAAAAAAATCATTTCTTAGAAATGATTAGTTATAATACCATTATTTGCATGAATTGATTAAAATAAATAAATATGCATCATTAATAATTTTTAAAGTAAAGTTTCCAAATAAATAAAGATGAATAAATAAATACTTTAATTTATACTAATAAAATTATTGACATATTTTAAATATTTTTATGATACTATTTCCTGTAAATAAAAAAAAAATTGTTGTTTATTATTAAAACAAATAATCTCTTATAAAACAAATATCCTTATATCCTAAGCGTCATCATCCAATTTGGTATTTTCTTGAAACCGAAATTCTTTTGCTTTTGAAAAGGATCTTATTAAAATTGTTATGATATATTTACTAGCCGAGATCTCACTTATTTTATTTGATAGAGCTTTTCATGCCTTCAACTTCAACTACTTCAAAGGTCTAAATCTGAGCAATGTATTTTGTTGAAATGTTATTTTAGAATCCCCATATTAAAATTCAAACTTGTACTTACATTTAAATTCTTATAATAATAAATGTTTTTTTTGCCACTTATCAATCTTTCATAAGTTTTGACACTTGTCATTTTGTGGTAATTTTGATCCACTTGTCAATTTTTAATTTGTTTTAATTTTTAATTAAAGTTATATACTTATATTTGTTAAGTATTAAATATCATATATATGATATTAAATTGTAATAAATAAGGTTGTTTCTTTCTTATTTTAAAATTATATACTTTAAGTTTAATTATTTTTTAAATCAACCCGTATAATATACAGGTCTCACACCAAGTTTTTAATATAAGCTGTTTTTTTTTTTCGATAACTAATCGGTATCTTTTAGCTAACAACCTGTACACCTTGCGACTTCTTCTTTTGGGGCCTCTTTATTTTTTAAGCCGACCACCATAGCTTGTTGACAATTATTATTATTATTATTATTATTATTATTATTATTATTATTATTTAATTCTTGAGAAAATAAATGGATTTGTTGCGAAAGAAATATATATCAAATAATATGTTTATCAACAAAACAAAACTAAAAAAAGTACAATTGAAATTTAATAAAACAACTTCTAGTTTTCCATTATCCATCCACATGACATCTCATTTATCATACAATAAAATCACAACAATCTTATGAATAACAACAGTATCAAGCTGGTAGTATTTATTTTGGTTGGTGTGGAGCCGGTGGCTAAAACTTTTGGAGGTGATCGGCTTTCTTGGCTTTGGCTAAAGAGGGTACAATCATTAGCTTCAATCGTGTCTGCTTCTGATGTTCGACGTTTTCTAGTCCAATCGAATTCTTCCACTGACCGCCAACAGAAGAGGTAAAGATCACCGTCTCTATCGGGACTTCTCTCGCATCTACCCACTGTCTTCTCCTCATTAATCTTCTTTCTATTGTTCTTTTATGGGCATTTAGCCCCTCACGATCGATCAACGCTTCCTCGATTTTGCGTATACTAATGCTTTGTCGTCTAAATCCAACTAACGAGAAGGGAAATCGTCTCCGGTATCGACATTGACTATGAACTCATTTTTGTGCACCACCATCAACCCTCGCACCGACTCATCCACACTATTTGTTTACGTACACACACATAGCAATTACCACCACCGTTTGCCTCCATTTGTTGAAGGAAGATGGAAATAGGTTGCGATGCTCCTGTCTTATTGAATCGTCGATTTCCAATTTGCTTATCAACCTATCGATGTGTGATTTCATTCCTAGAATGTGGGCACACACGGATTTACCATCTTCATGTTTCATTTCCAATAGGGCCTTAGTGATATTGAACATTTCAATTCTTCGATCTTGTGAGTTAGGGAGAACAATTGGAGGAGGAGGAGGAAGTGAAACATGATTTCTCGTTCCTCGATCGAATCATGGAATATCATCTTCATGTGGAATGCTTGTTCCACGGGATTTGAGAAGACCATAGTTATCGAACTTTGACATCTACAAAACGGGAGAAAACAAATTCAAGTTAGTTGATCGATTGAGTCCTTAGTAAATCACCCAAATGAGATACTAAGGCTAGGACCCAACACAATACGCTACAACCTAGAAAAGGGATGTCGTAATCTAGTTGCAGAATATTTGAAGGTAAGTGAATGACGATTCACTAATTTCCACCATGAAAAACGAAAAAGAAATTTAAATTTTAAATCTATGAAAACTCCTAGATCCTTTGAGATTCATTGAACATTTCAATGGCATGTTTAAATCTCGATATGCCCCTCTTGTTTGTGACTGGGATGCCGAGGATCACAAAGCGGGTGTGAATAACCATGCAAACTTACATGGTGCCCTCACATGTTACAATCACCTATTCGATGTGCCGGTAAACCACATATGCTCCACCAAACTATGACAAACATTGAGCCACCCTTTGCTACCTTTGCTTAGAACCATTTAGTGTGCCGGTAAACCACACACGCTCCACTAACGTCTTCGCAAGGGCACAAAGTGTAATTTCATGGAATTGCATCAATTCACTTTTGCCTAAGTAACTAAGATTGGGAATTTGAAAAACATTTAGTTACTTTGTATTTCATTATACTTATAATGGAAGGCTTCGTCTTATCCTACCCGTTCGGCTAACGACCCTCCACTAGTCAAGAGTGCGGTGAGTAAGAGTGGATACCCATTCAATCGCCATATTATAGGCAATTTCCTTAAACACCCCTTATAGACCAGCTTCGTGAATGAGGCCTACTAACGGTAAGACTGACTTTAACTCATACATATATATAATGTTAGACTTTTAATGTTATATATAGTATAGGATGTATTTTACACTTTTAGAATACTAGGTGGTCAAATTTAACAATTATACTTTTAATTGAATTAAATTGTAAACCAAAACTTTTATGGATTTATTAAACCTCTTTTAATTATACACCTTAATTAATTAATAAAACCACAAGGGTGTGATTTGAAATTTTTCAAAACATTACTAGGGTTTTAGAATTTAACATTCCTAATTAAACTTTTAATCAACTTTTAAATTCCAAAACTTGAGGGCAAGTTTTGAAACATTTCAAAACATTAGGGTTTAGAATTTAAATATCCATCAAAATTAAACTATTTAATCAAAATTTAAATTCCAAAACTTGAGGGCAAGTTTTGAAACATTTTTCAAAACATTAGGGTTTTAACTATTTAAATTTCAAAACTTTTGGGTTCAAATTTAAACGATAAAACCTAAAGGGGAAAATATGAAACTTTTCATAACAACAAGGATCAAATAACAAATAATTCATTTAATCACATAATTATCCATATTTGATTTATTTAATGATTTCTTGCAAAACAATTTATCAATTTACTCAAAATAATTAATCAATTATCACATAAGGAAACAATTATCTTATTAATTGATAAATATCTTCAATTAGATCAAAATTATAGTCAAATCTATCATATAATCGGATTAATATTGATCTAACATGATAAGATAACTATCCATAAGCAAAAACAGCAAGAAAACCCGAGATACCCTCCATCTG